ATCTATGTACTCATATTAAAAAATATCCACCATATGTAAAGAAAAGCAAGTTTAAAAACCATTTGTTAGTATTATCTCATTTAAAAAAAAAAAATTCAAAAATATGCTTGTTGCCCTAGCTGGTTTGGCTCAGTGGCTAGAGTGTCAGCCAGTGGACTGGGCCCTAGGTTTGTTCCAGCCAAGGGCACGTGCCTCAGTTGTGGGTTCAATCCCTGACCCACGTTGGGGGCAGGAGTGCATACAGGAGGCAACCAATCAGTGTGCCCCTCTCACATAGATGTTTCTCCCCCCTTCTACTCTCTCTGAAAAACAATGGAGAAATATCCTCAGGTGAGTATTAAAAATAATATATGTGTGTGCTTGTCAATACCTGGGGGCAGGGAGCATTCCAGGACCAGGGAGCAGCCCTGACTCACAAGGGAGCCTGGGTGTTGCTTCTCAAATGATGTGTGGAGAGAGACCAATGTTTCTTCACCTCCATAGGCTGGGTAGCCTTGGAGACTGAGAAGTCTAAGGTCAAGGCGCTAGCACAGGCAGGGGCTCCTGCTGGCCCTCCTGGTCCTAGCTGGCACCTCCTTATTGTGTCCGTAGGTGTTGGGAGGGGCTAGGATCTCTGTGGGGTCTCTTCTATAAGAACACTAATTCCATTCATGGAGGCTCCCCCCTCATGACGTCAGCACCTCCCAAGGCCTTACCTCTGATACCACCATCTCTGGGTGTCAGGGTTTCAGCATATGAATTTTGGGGGGAACACAAACATTTAGACCACAGCTAAAAATGAATTGCTTTCCCATGCAAGAAAATGAAGGTGGACCCCAACCTTACACCATATATAAAAATTAACTCAAAATGGGTCAAAGGCTAAACTTAAGAACCCAAACTGTAGAACTCTTAGAGAGGAAAACACAGGGAAGTCATGCTATTGAATTTGGCCACAAAGAAAAATTAGACTTCATCAAAATTAAAAACTTTTGTGCATCGGAGGACACTACCAAGAAAGTGAAAAAGACAACTCACGCCCGCCCGGGCGTGGCTCAGCAGTTGAACATTGACCTAGGATCCAGGCTATCGGGGTTCAATTCCCAGTCAGGGCACATGCCCAGGTTGCGGGCTCCATCCCCAGTCGGGGGCGTGTAGGAGGCAGCCGATCAATGACTCTCTCATCATTGATGTTTCTACCTCTCTCTCTTCCTCTCCTTTCCTCTCTCTGAAATCATTAAAGATATATTTTAAAAACCCCCACAAAAACAAAATATTGAGCTTTTTAAAAAAACTCACAGAAGGGCAGGAAGTATTTGCAGACCATGTATCTGATAAGGACTCATGTCCAGGATAAAGAACTCTTACAACTCAACAACAATAAAACAACCCAATTCAAAAATTGCCAAAGGACTTGCAAAGACATTTGTCTAAAGAAGACATAAAAATGGCCAGTAAACCCACGAAAAGCTGTCCACTCCCACATCACCGTCCAGCGATCGTGTCTGTGCTCTGCTCTACAGAGCCCCTCAGCAGCATTTGTCACTCGTTCCCTGACACTCCCGATGCTGATGGTAGCTGCTGTTTATGGGGTTCCGATCAGGAAAGATGCTGGGTGCTTTTTCACACATTGAGGAAAGAGGGTTGCCCGGAGTCCCCCGCTGGGACCCAGCTGCCCGCAGATGTGTGAGCAGTGCACCTTCGGCACCCAGGTGACGGAAGGAGGAACCGGGAGGTGGCTCGTGAGAACTGCACAGCTGGCTGAGGGCAGGTGTGTTGGGGACGTGCTGACGGGCTGGAGAGGAGCAGAAACTCCGGACTGTTGCTGTTGCCTGTGGTCGTGATTCAGCTCACCGTGGAGAGGCAGAGCCCTTCCTACTCCCCTGGCCCGTGGTTTGAGAAATCAGTGTCGGCCACCCCCTCGGTCTGCTCCTGTAGTGAGCACAAGTGTGTTAAGGTGTCTAATGTTCCCATCTGAAAGCAGGAGGGGGCCAGGATGGTTTTGCGATGTGTTTGTGCAGAACCCCACTCCAAACCCATTGTCATCGAGCTGGCTGAGCAGCCCCTGCTCCTGTGGCCTGTCTCCTCCAGTCCCCTTTGGGAACAGCCTTGCCGGCTGGCTTTCAGAAGCATCGAGGCCAGGATATTTTTAGTATCCAGACCGTCAGGTTCCTGAGGCCATTAATAGCTCAGGTTAGGGAAGGGAAGGTGACAGCAGTCCAGGAGGGCAGCAGCTGCCTAATTGGGTCAGGCCTATTGTGCAGCAGGTCAGCTGCCTCTGGCCTGCAGGGATTTTGCTGGAAGGTGACTTCTCGTGGGCACTGAGGATCCTGGACACACCAGACAGTCTTGTTTTCTGTGCACCTCCTCTGCTCTGGCCTCTGGGGTTCCATTCTTAACCTTTGCCATATTTTTGGGTGCGGGGGGTGGAACTAGTTCCGGAATCTACTCCCAGGCCTGCACTTTATTTTTCCTGAATCATACTGTCTTGAACTTCAAAATAGACTCCTCCCTTCACTCTGGTGGCTCGGGTTTGGTGGATAAGTTTGTGCCATGACTTATGCCACGTATTATTTTGTAGACTTAGCGCGGGAATGGGAGGTGAGGACATAGCTGGGGCCAAGGACAGCCCATTGTGCGATTGTGTATACTTGCTGGGTACAACGTAACGCACCGATACATATGTCATACAGTGAGAATAAACTATAAAACATGCTTTACAAATGACACACTTAGAGACTGCGTGACAGTTGTTTCTGGCTTTCAGAATGTAGGTGGTGTGTAAGTCAGAGAGCAGAAGAGCTGGCTGGTGGGGGCCCAGAGCCGAATGTCTTTGCTGACCTGAAGTTTTTGTTAATAGAATTAAGTACATAGTTTATACCTGAATTTACTGAAGAACTAGAAGGTGTTCAGCAAAAAATTTATTCTGTCATTAAATACACGATTATTGATTTCATTAATGGTGCCTTATTTAGAATATTTTAACACAATTCTGGGGATGCGTCATCTTTCTGAACAGCACTAAGTCCTTGTACAAGGACATAATAGAAGTGGTTAGAAACTAATTTTCCTGAGAGCCGGCCCATATTAAATGACCTGTTTTTCTTAATAATTTTTTAAAACCTCTATTAAAATGTATTACATGTATATTAGGGAATGCTTCCATTTCAGGAAAATGTTCATTTTTAGTACATTTCAAATTAATGAAATAAATGTAAGGTTTGACATAATATGGTTGGGAAGTTAGTTTGAGGGAGAGACTGTCAAGAGAAGTTAATTATATTTGACTTGGTAAACTCTGAAAGTATTGTTTTGAATTGTACTCAGAATTCACACTTGTAAGAATTGCACCTCTTGCCCTGGCCAGCGTGGCTCAGTCGGTTGAGCGTTGTCCCATGCACTGAGGGGTCCCCCCTTCGATTCCCAGGGCGCGTGCCCTGGCTTCAGGCTCAGTCCCCAGTAGGGGCCGTGCAGGAGGCAGCCAATTGATGGTTCTCTCTCATCGGTGTTTCTCTCTCCCTTCCTCTCTCTAAAATAAATGAAAACATATTAAAAAACAAAAGAAAAGAACTGCACCTCTTAGAAGTTCTCATCACAAGAAAGAACAGACAGACCTGTATCTGCCTGGTGCTGTGTGCTGACTTGTGGCAATTTTCTGCAGCGTATGCACGTACTGAAGGCTCACCTGAAGCCAGTAGGATGTCGTCTCATTTCTACCTCCGCTTAAAAAGCACTGCCCCTTGGTCTGTGTGCTGCTTTATGCTGTTCAGGTACACTTGTCAGTTGTCACAGCGTAATGGTCACACTGCCAGCAAACAGTTTTGAGCATGCCCCACAGGTATGTGTATAATTTATAAAGTATATATTTTGCTCTACCAAAACATGGTATATAACAAAGCATAGGAAGAGTTAAAAGGGGGCTGAGGTAGAAATGAACTAAGCAAAGCTGTTCTGACTTTTCTCCCATGGTCCTCGAGGTGGGGGCGTGCAGGAGGCAGCCGATCAATGGCTCATCATTGATGTTTCTCTCTCCCTCTCCCTCCCTGTCTCTGAAATCAATAAAGATATATATATAAAAATAAAAAAAAATCCCTACATTGCCTCTCCTCTTTGCTCTCATGGCCTTGCGTCTTCTTTTTCCTGCACTGTTGGAATAGCCTCCTAGTTGGCCTGATGTGGTTCCTTTCCAGTCTAGCCCCTGCACCGCAGCCAGAGTAATTCATCTTAAGCACAGATCTAGCAGCACTTCCTGGCTGGGCATCCCTGTGCCTCTCCATCCGCTGCCACAGGCAGTCCAGGCTCCCGATGCCAGGGGCTGTGCCTCTTCATTGGCCCTTTTTACAACGTAGAGGATTGTAAAGCAGTTCAGACAAGGTGCAGGGCCGATAAAATGAGATAACCCAAGGGTTTGCACTAAACCGCATACCCTGTCATCTTATTTTGGGCCCATTTCAAAGCCTTTCAGTTATTCCTGACGTCTTCCCTCATTTGGAGCATAGTAATGTGAAAGAAAGGTTGTTCTTGGTCACAGAGAAAAGCCAGTCTCATTAGGTTCAGTGTGTGCAGCCAGAGTGTTAACTGATGGGCCATCTCACGTTTACTCTCGGACAGCTGTCGAGGTCACAAACCTACTTCTCTCCAAACGTTTCCCTGCAAAATCTCAGGCTGGGCTAATAAGCCTCTGCTATTGGCCGGTCTGAGAGTGAGGGGCTGAGCCCAAGCAGCTTTCTCCACCATGTTTTCACCTGCGGTGCCTATAAATTCAGCGAAGTCTTCCCTTACCCAGGCTCCAAACTCCGCTGAGGTTCCTGACCTGCCAGCAGGTGACCGTCCCGGCCACCTGGGGGGGATCCTGTACGCAGGGCCTCCAGGCTGGCTTTCCTGGGAGGGCTTGTTAGATTCTGGGCCTGTAGGTAAAGTTGGCTTTGATTCCTTGCGAGTGACTTGTCAAAGCTGAGTCACTGAGTCATTCTCAGACAGGGCACCTCAGGTAAGGCCTTGGTTGTGTCATGGAGTCGTCCAGCTCTCTTCTGGTCAAAGGGAAGGCAGAGTTTTGTCGAACCTTCACACGTTACTGCTGTGAAAAATACAAACCCAAGAATGCCTTCCTATGTTTACATATTTTAGGAAAAGGCATTAATAAAGTACTATTCTTTTTGTTGTGATCTTTAATAGGTGGGCTGTCACCCTGTTTTCTGTCAGAAGTAGGGCTCGGTACGAGAGACCGGAGAGAAGTCATCAAGTTTGTTAGGAAGTAGCTTGTGCGGCTCTCCCAACTCCCCTTCACTGTGACACTTCAGTGTGATTATCTGTTCCAGGTTCACATCGAGATCCACTGAAGACCTCCCACTGGCTGGCACAGGAGTGTCCTCGGCCTCCCCGCGTCAGAGAGCGCAGCATGAGGGACGGAGGAGGGACTCTGGGCACCTGCCTCGCAAAAGCTCAGGGAGAGGACTCNGGAGGAGGGACTCTGGGCACCTGCCTTGCAAAAGCTCAGGGAGAGGACTTGGACGAGCGGCTGTGCTGCCTGCGAACACAGGAGAGCCCTTGCCCACCAGGTGCACCTTGCTGGGCACCTTCCTGGGCAAATAGGCCTACGGCTGATGTACATGGAAATTCACAGAATGAGACGTTATCATTGGAAATGAGAAGTGATCTGAGTGAGGCCGGCCTCCTGCTTCACGGTGGCACCAAAGTGCTTGCCTATTTGAAAGAATCAGTGAGAAGGAATTCCGCCCCCACCGTGGCTCAGAGCGAGACTGTGGGCCTGTTCTTTGCTCCTGCAGAAGAGGGTTTTGCTGGGCCGTCCCTTGGTGTCAAGGAGGCCTGGGCGAGGGACTGGGTGGGAGGCAGGCCCAGGGCCACCAAGGGCCACAGGGGTCGGTGCCGCAGAGGAGAGCCCCGGGGGTCAGGACTGCCCTGCCGTCAGAAGCGGTCAGACATGGGAATCTCTGAGGATGAGCCGAGTGCTCTTGAGGGGAGAGGCTCTGAGCTGGAACCGTCTCGCCGGCACCCGGTCCTGCGCACCCCACTGCACGCGCAGCGCGGAGCGTTCCCGAGGGATGGGACAGCGCGGGCTCCCCCCGGCTCGGAGCCCCTGCTGCCAGGGCCAACAGCGGGGTGCAGGAAGATGCTTCCCCGTGGAAACAGTGCCTCACGCGACCTGCAGGCAACGCCGGGACCTCTGGCTGTGCAGGCTCCTGAGGTAGCGAAGCCATTACGCCACGGTTAATGATGGTATACGCCGAACAATAAAAATAGTGAGATTCATTTACAAGGTGTCTTAGAATGGTTTCTCTGCTCAGTCTGATGCAGGCGGTGCTGCTGGGAGGTTCCTGCCCCGGTTTCTGTGCCCAGACAGACTTCAGCGAGTGGGATGGAAACTCATGGAAAGCCGGTGACACAGAAGGAAACGTTTGAGCGTGTTTTAAATTGTGCTTGAAAGAGACATTTGTGATTGGGAGACCTTTTCCGGGAGAGCACGAACATGTCCTACGTAAATACCACATTAGCCGCAAAGCTTTCGTGTAAAGTCCTGTGTAAACCTTCAACAGCCATCTGAAGGGCTCCCGTCGTGCTGCCTCGGGCTGCCTGGCCACCTTGCGCAACTGGGTGTCTGTAAACGCTGCCCCCCCGTTCTAGCCCCGGGCCTGCTGGGTTGATGGGAGCCCTGACCATTTCCGCACCTTGAGAATAACTTTGGTCGCAGCAAAATGTGATTCCTTTTCTCTCGGCCCTTTCTTCCCACTTGTAATGCAATTTTTAACAGAGGCCCTGCGGTGGATGTTGCAATATTAACCTTACCTACAGAATAAACCTTTCTCAGACTGGCGACCCTGGCAGTGTTACCTGAAACAGAAGCAAGCGTGAGGCTCCGTCACAGAGGACCCTCAAGTGTTTCCCTTGTAGGAAGCGTCTAGTCTCCAGTCGAGGTCTCTTGTACAGTAAGGTTTTCCTGAGATAGCTCCTTTTTTGTTGTTAATTGATAACTTTGATAAAGGTCACGTAAGAGTGTGAGTTTTTACGGAGTCCCCGAGTCAGACAGCCGTGTCTGGGATGATGAATTGCATATACAGTCTCCTGTGCTAGATTACCATGTCATGTGCTATTTTAGTGTTTTGGGAGAATGAAAAATAAAATCTGTTCTCTAGCAAAATAAATGTCTTATTTTATGTGTATAGTCTTGGTTCACCTTGTGTTTTCATTAATGCTGCCTTCCTAATACGTACAAGTCTTCCAGACCAGTGGGAGCAGTTTGCTGACCAGGAGACCAGACGCAGAGCTCAGAAAACAACATAAAGCTGGGTTGGAATTTGACTCTCACCTTCCTCCTGGGGTGTAATGAAATTGTGGGTTGTGGGATCCTTCAGGGTGTTGCCCAGAGTCCCAAAGTAAGAGTCCTTGTGAGAAAACAATTGCCAGCCGGTCTAAAACGACCCCATCGTGATTGAGCAATGAAAGCCCCGGCCACCCAGCTGGCGTGGTTCAGTGGTTGAGCGTCGACCTAGGACCCAGGAGATCGGGGTTCGATTCCCAGTCAGGGCACATGCCTGATTCCCAGTAAGGGGCGTGCAGGAGGCGACTGATATCTCTCCCTCTCCCTTCCTCTCTCTGAAATCAATAAAAACATACTAAAAAAAAGAGCCCTGGCCAGTGGAGTCACTGGTGGATTGTGATGTAAAGTGAGGACACATTTTAGTGTTTTAAAATGGGAGCTATTTTCTTGTCACGCCTTTCTCCCCTAACCCTACCTCCTCTTTTTCGGCTTCAAACTAAATTTGCTCCTTTGGGATAGAACTTTCCATGACTCATGAACTGTTTTATTTGCTTTGGTTTATAAATTGTAAGTATATAAATTTTCAACCAATTGCAAATTAAAAAACCAGGAATTTCCTATTTGGCCTTCAGTGCTAAATTTAATAAATTCGAAATTTTTTCACGTGGTTATATTAGAATAAGGTGTGTTTTCTAAAAGCAGTTTTGGGGAGAAGTTCACAGTAGCTTTCTGCACATTAATTCCTTAGTACATGTATACTTTGCTGAAACTTTTCGGTGCTGTGTCATGACCAGTTCCTGTCTAGATGGAAAGTTCTGGGATGGTGAGGAGGTGACTGACACAACTGCTACGTGACATTTTGTGACTTTCCATAGTAAAGCCTTTGGTAAACATGTTGCTTTTTGAGGCAGTTAGTACAGAAATAGGATATTTTGGATACATTGTTTCATGGTTGAATTATAAAAAGAATCACTCATTGGAAATATTTTAGTTTGCATCATTTTGGCAGCTAAAACTAAGGGAAGCTTGTTAAAAAAGTTCTTAAGTTGAGCCTGGCCAGTGTGCCTTATTGGTTGAGTGTTGACCCAGGAACCAGGAGATCGAGGTTCGATTCCCGGTCAGGGCACAGGCCCGGGTTTCAGGCTTGATCCCCAGCAGGGAGGGTGCAGGAGGCAGCCGATCAATGACTCTCTCATCATTGATGTTGCTCTCGCTCCCTCTCCCTTCCTCTCTCTGAAAGCAATAAAAACGTTTAAAAAATAAAAGTTCTTAACTTTATATGCATTTCCTTTTTTGCCTTTATGGGTTCTGCTCTTAAGGATTGAACAGCACAATCATTTTAAATTTAGAAGCAAAATCTTGGACTTAGTTTTACATTTGGAAATCATAATTTAACACTGGAATGAGTTTGAGGTCTTGAAGCAATTATGAGGTTACAAGCCTACAGAGGATAAAAAATTTAGAAGCTCTTGCCTTTAAATAGATCATTCTTATGACTATTGATTCTATAAACAGGAGCAGGATTCTGCTCCCTGCATCCGGGTGAGTGGCAGGCAGGGTTCGTTGTCAAATTAACGTTCACATTTCCTACTTCCCGGTGTAAGATCAAGGTTTGGCAATAGGTGGCTATAAAAACGTTTCAGCGTTTGGAGTTTGCTAGAATCAGCTTCTTTTCCCCCCTGTATGAGGGATTTTCTAACAAGAATATCAACCGGTTCCATGTAACTGTTGTACGCAGATGGTCCCTGGCTTAGGGCAATTCGCTGGACAGTGGCAGCAAATGCAGCCCTGGGTCACCCCTGCCATCAGGGGTAAACAGCCAGCACTCTACAGCATAGTATTAAATGCATTTTAAAAAACCCAAAAAACACCATGTTTTTATTGATTTTAGAGAGAGAAGAAGGGGGAGGGATAGAAACAGATGAGATAGAAACACCCGCCTGCTGCCTCCTGCCCGCCCCCTGCTGAGCATGGGCCCGACCGACCGGGATGAAAACCAGTGACCTCTTGGTTCATGGATTGATGCTCAACCACTGAGCCACCCTGGCCAGGCTTAAGTGCATTTTGGCTTTCGGTATTTTTAGTTTATGAGGGGTTTATGGAGGTAACCCCGCAGTAGGTCCAGGAGCCTCTGTTTGGGTTGAGTATTTTCTGTACTCCTTACTCCATGTGTTTCCCGCATTGTCTAAAAAGGGTCCTGGAAGATCAGAATCAGCCACTTGGTTTTTTTTTTTTAACAGNAGTAGGTCCAGGAGCCTCTGTTTGGGTTGAGTATTTTCTGTACTCCTTACTCCATGTGTTTCCCGCATTGTCTAAAAAGGGTCCTGGAAGATCAGAATCAGCCACTTGGTTTTTTTTTTAACAACATCATTTAATATGTTGACTATTATACCAAAAAAAATGACTTTATTTTTCTGTCCGCTTCCTTCAGGGAGCAATGAGTCTGTCTTTGGACCACAAAACCGGTAAAATACTCGGGCTCAGCTTTCAGACCCGACCTTGATGATGTGTGAGTTCTGCCCTTCGCTCCTCGACGCAGATGCGTAACAGATGGTGGCTTTGGATTTAGTCTGTGGGGAGGAGGAAGGGGGATCCAGAGAAGGGCGTGAAAGCGCCTAGTTCCATCGCGAGTGAGAACCGCTCAGGCCAAGGGACCTGCCCGCCCAGGTGAGTGAGACACGGCGGGGCTTGCAGCTGGCAGAGGCCCCCTTTCTCAGGGCAGGGAAAGCCCTGCTTTTTTTTTTTTTTTAATCCTCACTTGAGGATATGTTTTCCATAGATTTTTTAGAGAGAGTAGGAGGGAGGGAGGGGAAGAGAGAGAAGCATTGATGTGAGAGAGACACATTGGTTGCCTCCCACACCCCCCCCAACCGGGGCCAGGGATGAACTTGCCGCCCAGGTACATGCTCTTGACTGGGAATTGAACCTGAGGCCCTTTGTGCACAGGCTGGTGCTCTAACCACGGGGCCCCCTGACCGGGGCACGCACTGCCTTTTTCATAGTTCCAGCACTTTGACGTGGCTATTGGCATGACCAAAGAAACCTGGTATTTTAAAATGGGTTCGTCAGTACAAATCTATGCAGGTCATGCTTAGTTGTGGAGCTAAGGGAGATACGTGTGCCGTGTTTTAAGTTGGCAGATGAGGTGACATGCATTGTGAGAAGGCAAAGTTTATTAAATGGCCTTTATTAGTCTGGGCAATTTTTAAATTAATCTGGGCAATTTTTTTTAACATATCTTTATTGATTTCAGAGAGAGGAAAGGAGGGGAGAGAGAGAGAGAGAAACATTAATGATGAGAGAGTCATTGATCGGCTGCCCAGCCCACAACCCGGGCATGTGCCCCGACCGGGAATCGAACCCCGATCTCCTGGATCCTAGGTCAATGCTCAACCGCTGAGCCACGCCCGGCTGGGCTCTCTTTTTTTTGCTAATCTTCACCCAAGGATATTTTTCCATTGACTTTTTTAGAGGGACTGGGAGGAAGAGAGGGAGGGAGAGAGAGACAGAGACAGAGAGAGAGAGACATATTGACTGGTTGCCTTCTGCACACGCCCTGCCTGGACCAGGGCTGGGGATCACACCTGCAACCCAGGCACATACATGCCGGTGACTGGGAATCGAGCCCGAGGCCCTTCGGTGCATGGCCGGTGCTCTCACCACTCAGGCTCCCTGGCCATGGGAATGTGGGCAAGTTTCAGTGGAACATCCTCATGTCCCCCTGAAGGCGGGCAACTGAAGCCCCAGTGGATGGGACACTGCTGCCCGCATGGTGTGTATTTAGTAACTTCAGTAATTCAGGGTAATTTTAATGTGGCTGCTTAATTTGGGGGGACTGGGTGAGACGCGAGGCCAGCCCCAGCCAGTCCGTGCATGCGAGGCTCGCTGTGGGCACAAGAGGGAGCCACATGCTCACGTAGGGAGTGTCTTGCTAGGGAAGGCCTTGTTGGGTTTTTTTAGTTGTTTTGTTTATCCAAATTCTTAACCAAGTTCTTAATCTTAAGAATTAACATAAAAATGCCGGAATTAGTTCAGTGTGGTTTGTTAAGCTCAGTGAGTGTGATTTGTCAAATCTTAAAGAGGCTCACCTCTAACTCAATACCTATAGGTGCTTTAAAACAAGATGACCGTTGGAAAAAATAACTTAGTGGTTTTGGTTTTTATTTCGGAGAATGACTTTCAGTATGAGACCACCTTTTCACACTGTATCAACAAGAATGGTGGTTTCGGTTTTTGTGGGGACACACACAGCCTCCCCAGGCAGCCGAGCCCCGAGGGTTCCCTGCAGAAGGGTCTGTCTGGGTCAGTCCTGATTCAGCTCGGGCCTTGGGGACCCAACCTGAGCCTGCACCAGGTGTGAGAGCCTCTTGGAGACCCTTAACGGGATATTTTCCACACGAACGAGTCAGTGTTTCACTCCAGAGATCACAGCTTGAGGTTTCTTTGGTGGCTCGTTGTGAAATGTACTTAAAACACTGGAATCTTAAAATATTGGAAATTGGCCCGGCCGGGCGTGGCTCAGCGGTTGAGCGTCGACCTAGGATCCAGGCGATCGGGGTTCGATTCCCGGTCAGGGCACATGCCCGGGTTGCGGGCTAGGCAGCCGGTCACTGACTCTCTCATCATTGATGTTTCTATCTCTATCTCTCCCTCTCCTTTCCTCTCACTGAAATCAATAAAGATATATTAAAAATAATAATAATAAAAAAAAAGAAATTGGAAANCTCCCTCTCCTTTCCTCTCACTGAAATCAATAAAGATATATTAAAAAAAATAATAATAAAAAAAAAGAAATTGGAAGTTGCCCAGCTGACGTGGCTCAGCAGCTGAGTATCGACCTAGGATCCAGGAGATCTAGGTTCAATTCCTGGTCAGGGCACATGCCCTGGTTGCGGGTTCGAT